TGAAATAAGACAATCCCCCCCAAAACCAAGGGCCAATTGTTCTGATTTATGGATGCTAAACCACAACAAGGGAGGATGGGGAGGGGAAGAATATAGAAGCCCATGGATTAGACAAAGGGAAACAAGGAAAAGGGACTGGGAAGGGGAACAGGAGAGAATAAAATTAGTTGGTCATAACACTCAGAGCCTTGTATACATGACCAGGGTAATTCTACATCATGTATGACCACACCTAAATAGAATTAAATTATACTCTATGTATGTATATTCTGTCTAAATACACTCTTACTTTCATGTATAATTAAATTTTTGGTTAAAAATAAGAGATTTAACATGGACACTGTCCTGAAGAATGTAAATATTATAAACCACAAATTCAAAGGGGGAAGGGAAGCAAAACAAAAAGAAACATCCCAATTTAAAAAAAAAAAAAAAGGCAAGAAAAGTAGAGTAGGAAAAACTTGGCAACAGGGAAAACCAAACAAAAAAAATCAACACCTTTAAGGGATGGGCTAGCCAACAAATTAAGTCACAAATATATGGTAAGACTGAGAAATACTTTAACTGCTGAGTATGGGTGCCAAGTCTAGGTACAAAGGGTAGCGTGGATGGGAGTTAATGAAATGTAAGGGTCTAACTTTGGAATGGAGGAAGGACAATGCTTTTTGTGAGATGGTCATTGGTAATTACTGTTGGAATTCAATTCCTATTTTTCCTGAGGTGGGAAGCCAGATGTGGGGTAATGATCTAGCGCCGCCCTAAATCTAGCTGCCTATTAGAATCACAGTGAAAGTTAAGAGATTCCTCATCTATCAAGTCTCATTTAGTTGATTCTCATTCAAGGGCACCTCAAATATTTAGAAAGCTCTGCAGTCAATTCTAATGAACAGCCAGATAGAGTAATCAATTTAGAAATCAGCCACCTTAGATTTTGGTACCAAAATCAGATAGAAAACTAATATTCAACACAGCCCTGGGAGCTAGAATTAGTAATCAACACTGAAAAGTGCACCAAGGAAAGCTAAAGGAAGCCCCAGAAAAGGTGGAACATTATATTTGAAATTTGAAAGTTCAAGTTTGCAAAAGAATAAAAGGAAGATTGTTGTGTATGCTCCAAAATGTAGACATTTCATTAAGTTTATACCTACTTTATAATATCTGGTCTTAGTGTAACTTTTCCAATTTTGATGGTCTGGAAAATACAAAGCAATCTCAAAGTAAGTTAGTTAAAAAACAAGTTAAAAATAACCATTGGGAAGAAAAAAATAAGGACTTATAATTTACAAATTTAGTAATTCCCATTGTAACAGTTTAACTCAAAATGAAGGTGTCTATATTCTAGTTATGTTTTTTTGGCTGGCCGGCTGGTCTTGCAGACTAGTTAGCACCCTGAAAGAGGTTTATGAAAAATATTCAGGAAAACCTAAAGAGGTATCTAACCACACCTGCAAATAGAAAGATGTAGTTGACTAAATAGGTAAATTGGAGGCAGAAATGAAAAGTCAAGAGCTTTTGTCAAATGCCTGAACTTCTGTGAAGCTGGAAGTTCTCTCCTAATCCTAAATGGGGTCAGCTCCCTGAGATAATGGGTACTTTGTTGGGCAGAGGAGGACAAGTTAAGTTAAATAAGGACCAAAATGTATTCACAGGGTACCTCAGAGAGGATTTGGAGGTAAGCACCAAAGAGAGAATAAGAATGCCTGGGAGTAAAAGAGAAGAGTACATGGGCAGTCAGGGTGATGTACATCTGTAGTTCCAGGTATCCAGGAAAGGCTGAGGCAGGAGGATCACTTGAGCCCAGGAGTTCCAGGACAGCCTGGAAAACAGTGAGACTATCCCATGGGGGTTTAGAGCACATGAGCAGAAAGAGATGGTAATTAAAACCCAAGTAACTTATATGACTATAGCTGGCCCTGCTCCCTTCTGTGGAACTAGATATCAAAAGGTGATTTGTGGGAGATGAGAGAGAGAGACCATACTTTATCACTTTACTCTGGAAAAGTTGGTGAAAGCAATTTTTACAAACCGGACCCACAATCTCCAACTCAAAAAACAAATTTCTATTCTCTGAAATGCTAGATGTCTCCTCCAGCGTGGATTCTGAACCTTGTTTCAACTGAGAAACTTCCTTTATTTTCTGATACCAGAGATGGAACCCAGGGTGCTTAACAATTGAGCCAGATATCCCCAGTCCTTTTTATATTTTATTTAAAGACAGGGCCTCCCTAAGTTGCGAGTTCTGGCTTTGAATTTGCATTCCTCCTGCCTAAGCCTCCCAAGCCACTGGGATTATAGGCATGTGCTACCACGCTCAACAAGAAACTTCCTTTAAAATTCGCCACTTACCTTGAAATCTTGTGCAAATCTGGTTTTTATATCTTTAATACACTGTTTTACTAAAATTGCTCTCCTCAGTATATCAATGATTTTTTTTGCTAAAACTAGTGTCCTTTTCTTAGCTACTTAATCTCTCTTGGCTCATTATTTCTTAAACTACCTTCTTTGCTTTATGTGACAGTACATGTTTTCCTTTGCTTCTATCTTTAATTTGGTAAGGATTTAAAGTTTTTTCCTAAATCAAAAGAACAATCATAAAAAATTGAAGAATACTTTCATACCCTCTCTTCACTTATGCATAATCACTGAATTAACAATATGGCATAGATCCTTTCTAAGCTTATGATTCTTTTAAAAAATTAAATGGGATTTCATATATATATAATTTTTTTCAATTTTTAAAATATTTTTTAGTTGTCAATGGACCTTTGACTTTATTTGTGGTGTTGAGAGTCGAAACCAGTGCCTCATACATGCTAGGCAAGCACTCTACCACTAAGTTACAACCCCAGCGAGCCCTCACATACATATATTATTTTACATCTTTTTTCACTGTTATCTTACAATTCTTTCCATGCTGATTAATTTCTTTAGATTTGCATTTCTACCACTCTGAAATATTCTGTATTATAAATGTAGTAAAATTTATTCAGCCATTTTTTTTACCAATGGATATTCAAGTTTTTTCCTAATTAATTATAAATACAAAGTGTTGTAATGACTATCATAAGATATGTACATCAGCAAGTTATTTTGAAGACTTTTCAACCAGACAGTTGCTGATTCATAGCTAATGTATATTTAAATTTTGAGAGAGGGCTGGGGTTATGGCTTAGTGGCAGAGCACTTGCCTCGCACGTGTGAGGCACTGGGTTCAATCTTCTACACCACAAAAAAAATAAACAAAATAAAGACTTAAAAAATAAAATTTTGAGAGAGCTGGTTAGGGTTATGTTAGCTTCATAATTGGGAACACTCCTCCTTTCTTAATGTTTTGTTTCTAGTGACTTTTGTCAAAGATAGAACACTTTAGGATATTCATTTAAAAAAAAAATTTTTTTTTTTGAGATAGGGTCTTGCCAAGCTGCTTAGGGTCTCACTAAGTTGTTGAGGCTGGCTTTGAACTTGCAATCTTTCTGCTTTAGACTCCTGAGATGCTGGGATTACAGATGTATGCCACCACGTCTGGCTCATTCTTGCTTTTATTTTTAATTCCTCTTAAGTTTATTTTTGGGGATTTAACCTTATCTGTTTCTCTGCTACTTGTTTCTGCTTCCTGTACTGACTCTTCTTCGTATGTGTGTACCCTTTAAAGGTTTGTCATGTGCTGCCTCATTCCCTCCATGAGTTCTTTCACTCTATATAACATAGCAAAAAGTAAAGCCTTTACCATTATTACAGAAGTGGCTACAAGCACTGTATTAATTTGGAGTCAGTTTTAGTAGGTTCCAACTCCTCAACTTTTAGTTATGCGATCTTGGCCAATATGAATTGTTTCTTCATCTGTAAAAATAAAAATAACAGTAAAGATTAGGTTCAAAGTTATCTGCGAACCATTTAGCATAAAATTGCTCATATTTATAACTCAATAAATATGAAAGACTAATGGCCACAGTTACCCATTTCTAAAATCAGATTGGAATGAAGACTAATCCCAAGCTTCTTTTTTAATAATAAAAAACCTTATTTTCAAACTTTATCTGTTCATCCACCTGACAATCTTTCAAGCCACCACACTCATCCACACAACAGCTTCCAACTAAGCCCTTTCCTTGAAGTAAATATTCCAGATGTTAAGAATGCCAAGATGGATAAGATATAGTCTCTACCTTCCAGAAGCTCAGAACCCCTGGAGGTTGGGGTGGAAGTGAGAACTGTTAAATAGGCAATTACAATACAAAGGTGATAAGTGACCTAATTGATATAGATTGTGGAAATTAAGACTCTGAGAATATGTGTAGCAAGACTGAAGGACCTAAATTGGACTCTTCATTCAGATATTTTTACTGTGTATTCTTAAGCAATAAACTTTTGTGCCTTTTTTTTTTAATCTGTAAAAAGGAATATCTATTTTGGAAGGCTGCAGTATAAATTATAGAAGAAAACTAAAATAAAGCACTCCATATAGTGGGGGTGGAGTGATTTATGAATTCAGTAAATGGCAGTTATTATTAACTACAAGATGCTATGTTCAAGAAAGGCAATTGTACCTCAAAAGAGAAGAGGTAGTGTCTGCAGAATTCCCCAAATGTGTCCTCTGGACAAAGCTGGAGGGTGGGATGATGGTTTGGGGATGGGGGAGGCAGGGTAGTTTTGGGTAGGAGGAACAGCACAGCACATATATTAAAAAGTGTTTCCAGGACCCCAGTTCATTATTCCTGAAGGGAGAAGATACGTGTGCCAAGGCATTAATAGTGGAAAAAACAGCTGAGAGGGGAAGCAAGATGGGCCATATCCCTGAAGGGCAGAAAACTCTTAGTATTTTCGGTTGCTGGCACAAAACCTGACCCATAAATTTACAACAAATAGTGAATGGAAGCGATTGTGTTAATCAATGGAGTTGGAGAGAAAGATTTTAGTCAGATTGTTGAATAGGAACATGTTACAGTGGAAGAAATCTGGATTTGAGGTTAGAAGACCTGGAGCAGTCTTTTGACGAATGAATGACCTGTGTTTTACACCGGCTTTACAACTTACCTGCTGTCCGACGTTAGAAAATTACTGATATATTGAGTCTTGACCTGTAAAACGGGGATTAACACCTATCGAGATAATCACAGAACCCGGCATTAGTAGGCACTCAATAACGCCAGCGGCTGTAGCTGCTAAATTCTCTCTTAGGTCTTTCTCAATATTTGTGAAATGACAGGATAAGAACAGATTTTCTTCCAATCAGCACTGAAAAAGTATATTAGGTTTGCCAAGGACGAAAAGGCCCCACCCGGCCCGCGCTACACAGGTCACCTATGCAGACTGCAGTCCTGGGGCCTCCATTTGGGTCGCTGAGCGATAGAGGGCGAGATGGATGACAAGCTGTTCTCAAGACGAACCTCAGGCTTCGATAGGTTCTTCAAGACGGATCAAAAAATCTCACCGAATACTGATCCACACCTCCTTCCCTCCGCTCTAGAAGCAAAGCCTTGAAAAAGGTGAAAGGAAGGAAGTAGGAAGTGACGTATCAATAAGCAAACGGAAATTACCGCACTACGCCGGAAGTTTACTCGTTTCCAAGGCAACGGCTCCGCCACCACTCCCTCCAGGTGGCCGGAGTCGGGACGCTGGAAAGCGACTCAGAGGAAAGGGCTTCCGCCGACGGCGGCCGCCGCCACAGCGACTCGCGGGGAGTAGTAAATGAAGACGGCGGCCGCCGTACCAGCCATCATGCGTGGAAGGTAAACGGCCGACACGGTTCTCACGGCGCCCATTCCAGGGGAAGAGTTGCCGAAGCCCAGGGACTTTGTCTCGCCGACAACAGGGAGAGAAAACGTGAAGAAGGCGACAATCGCCTCAAGGTCTCCTTGGGAAGAGTGGGTGAAGACGTCGGCTTCTCCCGCAGGGACTCGCGGAGAGTCGTTGGAGACATAGGCCACCACCGCTGTGCCTTTCGGGAGAGAGTCAAGGGAGATGGTGGTCACCGTCACAGCAGCTCTTGGGTGAAAGTGAGGGGAGACCGCGGCTTCCCCAGCAGCGACTTGAGTTCAAGTGACGTCGGCGACCCGCACTCGAGCGACTCTGGTGCTACAGTCAGAGACCACAACCGCCGACTCAGTGGCTCTTGGGAGAGAGGGAGTGTGGATGGTAGCCACTACCCCAGTAGTTCTTGGGACGGAGTAAGTGAGGACCGCGGCTATGTGGCCAGCGACTCCTCGGGGGTGAGCGTTAGCGAAAACGCCGGTCGCCGTCTCCGTGGCTTCCGGGAGAGAGAAAGTGAAGACGAAGGTTCCCGAGGTAGGGTTTCTTGGGAGAGAGCAAGCAGGGAGGACTCTGGCTACCGTCCCAGCGACGACGACGAAGACGGCTGCAGCCGCTACAGTGGCTCCTGGGTGAGAGCAAGTGAAGACCGCCGCAGCAGCAGGGGCCTGGATTCCACTCCTCCCGGGAGTCTGAGGGATTGCACCATGCCTGGGGTGGCCAATTCGGGCCCTTCCTCTTCCTTTAAGGAGACTGCAAACACGTGTGAGTCAGACTATTTTGTTGGCTCTTGACTTTGCCACACTTCTTTTCACACATCAGCCCACAGCAGCCCTAGTCTCTGCTGGCATTTTCCGTTTAGAATAGTCACGCCTTCTTTCCCCTTCTTTATTTTCACTGATTCCCCAGACTATTCACCCATCCGTCATCATCTCTCATTTCCCCCTTTATTTTGATCCGCATCCTTTGAAACTTCTTGCTCAAATTGACATCAACTCTGGTTTAATCTTTTGGATCCTTTTAAGTTATTACCTGACTTCTCTGCAGTATTTGATCCTGTGGAGATAATAATTTAGGCTCACCTAGTTTTTTTTTTTTTCTTTTCACTCTATTGGGTCTTCTCCTTTGCTGACTTACTTTACTCTATTCTTAAGTGTTGTTTTCTTCCCTTGATGGTGCCATCTAAAAGTGGTCCCTTTTTTTTTTCCTGTCATGTACTGTGGCTTCTGTTCTGTGTTATTCATTCAAATCTTCATAAATATTTAGTGTCTACCGTGGGCAGTGTTGCAAGGAAATAACATTAAAGAAGGCAGGCGCATAATCTGTCTTATACTGACTAATGTGATTAAGTATTGGAAAGGAACATAAAAATAAAGTTCCATTGGTTTTATTATGGGGTGAGAAGAGGGTCAGAAAAAGCTTTCTACAGGCCTAACACTGAGGCCTGAATTCCACATCTCTCCTCTAAACTGCAAACTTAAGTATGCATCTCTTTTTTGGAAAACTTCCTTGGGCACCTCAAGATTATGATACCCAAAATGTAATTTTTTTTGGGGGAGGGTGCTGGGGATTGAACCCTGGACCTTGTGCAGCAAGGCAAGCACTCTACCAACTGAGCTATATTTCCAGCCCAAAATGCAATTTTGTATCCATAAACTCTTATATCCCTTAATGTTTTCTATCGCAATGGCAAGATTGCATTTAAGTGACTAAAATACTTTGGATTTATTCCACTACTCTTTCCTTATTTCACCCACTATACTCATCCAAGTTCAGGTCATCCTTTTTCCATTACTATCTGTTGAATTTGTTTTCATTTGTTTCACTGCTACTGTCTTAGTTGAGGGTCTCAATTATTCTGGTCTAAAGTGGTATTTATGTTCTTACATAGTCTCCCTGACTCGCTAATCTTGCCGTTTTGCCCCCTAGTCAATAATTTTCTCACTACCAGCCATATAAACTCATTGTTAAAAATCTGATCATTTAATTCCTTTTTTAAAAAAGATAGTACACTCTGTCTTTATATTTTAACTTTCTATTTCATTACCATCATACTTCTATCTCATTCTCCCACTTATTCTTCAATGTAGGTTTTTTTTTTTTTTCTGGTAGTTAGGGAAATTGGAACAGTTTCTGTTTGTTTAGTGTGTATGTTTTAGTTCAACTTTGCTATAGCTTGAATCTGGAAATAGATCATCCTAGTTTCAATTTATCTTCTCTTTGACAGTTAGGAATCCTACTTGAAATCTCTGCCTTCAATTTCCTTAGGTATAAAATAGTATCAGACTTAGCTTGCAGGGCTCAGATAACAGGCATAAAATGTCTGGTACAGTGTGGGTGATTAATGGGTATTTGTTGAAAAAAGTTAGCAGAAAATGATATCTCATTACATCATTATGCTGGATTTTTGTATAATTTGCCAACAATGCTGACCCATAGTGGATGAAATGAGTGCAATTTAATAGAAATGTAACTGAATTGTGCCTGAGGTACTTTGGATTTTGTTAATAACATACACTAATTATACAAATTAATGGGATTCATGGTGATATTTCCATACATGCACATATCACATGTTCATAGTGCCCATCCACTCTCCTTTCAATCCCTCCACTCCCTGACTGTGGCACCTTTCTCATTATATTTTTCTACTTTCAAATAACTTTTTTTTCCCTTAAGTTCCTCGTATGAAATACTTTCTGTGTCTGGCTTATTTCACCTAACATGATATCCTTCAGTTCCACCCATTTTGCTGCAAAGATAGGATTTTATTCTTTTTTTTTTTAGTACTTTTTTTTTCTTCACCCCTGCCTCAGACTTCTGAGTGCCCAGCTCATTATTCTTCATTACCGAACAATACTCCATTGTGTATGAATACTGTATTTCCTTTATCCATTCATCTATGTATTGGTACCTAGGCTGATTCCATAGCTTGGTTATTGTGAATGTGCATCAGTAAACATGGGTATGTTGGTATCTCTCTCTTTTTAAATATCTATCTTCTTTTTTATACCTTTATTTTATTTTTATGTGGTACTAAGAATTGAACCCAGTCCTTATAAATGCTAGGTGACTGCTCTACCACTGATCCACAACCCTAGTCCTGTGTAGGTATCTCTTTTTGTTATGATGACTTCAGGTATATACCCAGGAAAGGTAAAGCTGGATTATATGATAGTTTCATTTTTAGTTTTTTGAGGAATCTCCATATTGTTTTGTATAGTGACTGTACTAATTAATTTTCCTACCAATAGTTTATAAGCATTCCTTTTTTTCTACATTCTTGCCAGTGTTTTTTGTTTGTTTTGTTTTTTGCTTATTTGTTTTGGTAATATTCATTCTAACTGGGGTAAGATGGACCCTATTATAATCTGGATTTGCATTTCCTTAATGGCTAATGATATTGAGATTTTTTTCATGTTTATTGGCCATTTGTACTTCTTTTTTGAGAAATATGTATTCAGCTCATTTGCTCATTTAAAAATTATATTACTTGTTTTTTACTTGTTAAGTTTTTTTGAGTTCTTATATATTCTAGAATTATTCATCTTAGGTCAGATGAATAGCTGGCAAATATTTTTTTTCTTTACTATGTCGATTGTTTCCTTTGCTGTGTCGATACTTTTTAGATTGATGTTATCCCATTTGTCATATTTTGCTTTTGTTGCCTGTGCTTTTGGAGTCCTGTCCAGAAACTCATTTCCTGTACCATTGTTAAGTACCAGTATCTTGAAGTATTTCTCCTATGTTTTCCTCTGGTAGTTTTAGAATTTCAGGGCTTTCCTTAAGGTTTTTGATTTATTTTTGAGTTGATTTTTGTACAGGGTAAGAGGAGTTAAGTTTCAATCTTTTGCATGCAGATATCGAGTTTTCCCAACACTTTTTGTTAAAACATTGGGCTCTCTGTTCTGTTCCATTGGTTTATATGTCTATTTTTATGCTGTTATACTGCTGATTTGATTACTGTGGCTCTGTAGTGTATCTTGAAATCAGGTTGTTTTGGCCACTTGGGATCTTTTGTACTTCTATATGAATTTTAGGATTGTATTTCCTAGTTCTGTAAAGAATGCCATTAGTATTTTGAAAGGGATTGCATTGAATCTTTAAATCTCTTTGGAGAGTATGAACATTTTTTTAAAATATTTTTTTGAGTTGTAGATGGCCACAACACCTTTATTTTGTTTATTTATTTCTATGTGGTGCTGAGGAAGGAACCCAGTGCCCCACATGTTCGAGGGAAGTGCTCTACCACTGAGCCACAACCCCAGCCGACAGTATAATTAATTAATGTTATTAATTCTTTAAATCAATGAATATGGAGGTCTTTCCATCTTTTAATGTCTTCTTTAATTTCTTTTATTAGTGCTTGGAATTTTCATTGAATTTCATTGAAACTTCTTAGTTAAGTTTATCCCTAGGTTTTTTAAAATTGTTTTTGTGGCTATTGCAAATGGGGTTACTTTTATGGTTTGTCAGCAAATTCATAACTGATAGAGAAAAACTACCCATTTCTGATTTTTGATTTTGTATTCTGCTATTTTACTGAATTCATTTGTCAGTTTCTAAGAGTCTTTTGGTGCAGTCTTTAGGTTTTTCTGTTTAGAATCATATCATCTGCAAATTTGACTTCCTCCTTTCCTAGTTGTACACCTTTTATTTTTCTTGCCCAGTTGCTACAACTAAAACTTCTGATACTTTAGAGCAGTGAGAATGGACACCCTTGTCTTGTTCTTGATTGTTTTTTTTCATGGTGCTTGTTATTGAATCCAGGGGCCACTCTACCACTGAAGCCACATTCCCAGCCCTTTTATTTTTATTTTGGGATAGTGTCTTTAAAAGTTGCTGAGGTTGGCTTTGAACTTGTACTTCTCCTGCTTGAGCCTCCTGAGTAATTGTTTTTATAGGTGTGCACCAATGTGTCCACTGAAGTTCATAATCTCAGAGGAAATGATTTTCATTTTTCCCTATTCAGTATGATGTTGGCTATGAGTTTGTCATATATAGCCTTTATTATGTTGAGGTATGATCCTTCTATACCTAATTTTTTCAGGAATTTTATCATAAAGGAATGTTGAATTTTATCAAATACTTTTTTCTGACTCTTGAGATGATAATATGAATTATTTTTTTTAATTAGAAAAAAATTTTTCTTTCGTAGGGTATTATTACTATGTCACCTTAGCTAATCTTGAACTCCTGGGCTCAAGTGATCCTTCTGTCAGCTTCCCAGATAGCTGGGAGTAAAGGTATATATACCCAGCTGATTTTTATTACTTTTATCCTTCATCTTATTTGTATTACATTTGTTGATCTGCATATGTTGAGTTTATTTATTTATTTATTTTTGCTATACTGCTATGCTATATCCCCAGACCTTGATTTGTTTATGTTGAATCATACTTGCATCCCTGAAATGAAACTGATGTGATATGATATATGATCTTTTTAATGTGCTATTAAATTTGATTTGCTAGTATTTTGTTGAGGACTTATGCATTTATGTTTATCAGAGATATTGGTCTCTTTTTTTGTTGTGTTTTTGTCAGGTTTTGGAAACAGGGTTAAGCTAGCCTTATAGAATGAGTGTGGAAGTGAAAGACCCTCAGATCCCCAGCCCGGAATGAAACACGTGAAACGCTGGCTGCAAAAGCAAGAGGCAGTTTATTACTACACAGGCGCCTGCGGGTGCTCAGCAATGCCTCAGCCGAAGCTTCGGTGAACTGGCACACCGGGCTTTAGGGTACAG